ACCAGAGAGTGACTAAATGTTTGTGTGTTTACAAAAGGAACAATCAGAGAGTTACTAAACGTTTGTATGTTTATACAATGAACAACCAGAGAGTCACTAAACTTGTGTTTATATGAGGAACAACCAGAGAGTGACTAAATGTTTGTGTGTTTACAAAAGGAACAATCAGAGAGTTACTAAACGTTTGTATGTTTATACAATGAACAACCAGAGAGTCACTAAACTTGTGTTTATATAAGGAACAACCAGAGAATGACTAAACGTTTGTATGTTTATATAAGGAACAACCAAAGAATCACTAAACTAATTTCGATTTGTATCGCTCTATTTAATTACGTTATTTTTTGTTTATGTGAACGAACGCCTGGGATATGTTGATAGATTATGTATACATAAAGATTACTAGCATGCCTTCATTAAGATATGTTTTATTTAAATTTAATTCGAATACGTGGTGTTATTTTATTCCGAATACATATACGTACTTGTTAAATAACTATGTTTCATAAGGAACAAAGGACAGGTTATTATCCGATACTTTTTTACCAGTACTGTTTATTCTTGCACTCAAGTTCGTGTTCAGTGTAAAAGGTCAAATTTTTAGCAGATCTGTACCAGAAATAATCATCATATAATGCTAAAACAAACTGAAAGAAAAATCTTACCATCTTGACCTCGCGCACCCAAACATTTGTTTCGTTGGCAATACAATCGCTAAAAGATGTTTGTATCTACGAGAAAAAAGAACATTTTTAGTTAAATAGAATCAAAAGAAATCTGGCAAGAACTTAATGCTAAGAAATGAGATAGAAAACAGACGTAGCTCAGAAGCAGTTAATATTCAGTAGCAGTAGAAAATAACAAGTTTCTACTTTTTCTATAAAAGTAAAAGCAGTTCATTGTCAGCTTCTTTCAAAATCAATCTCGGACATCAGCTTGTGAATGAGTAAGCTCTCTTTTAAACTGACTCATTCACAAGTTGAGATCCGAGATTAGCGTCAAAGAAAGTGATAAAAACTGCTTTTACTTCTATCATTTCTTTAAGTTTAGATGCAATTCAGTGATAGCTGTGACGTTTATCTCTTGTATGTGTAAATTCTTGAAACTAAGCAATACGGGATGTTATACTCCTGTGATATAAACAGCTGTATCCTTTTAAATTTGATGAAGAGGAATCCAGTTTTTAAAAAATAAGTTTGGAGACAGCTTAAATGGATAATGAAGAAAACTTTATTAAAAATGGATAACATTTGAATAAGATTATTGGTACCTGATGATGACATAATATTGTAGAAATGTCGTACATTTATAATCCAATGTTTATCATTACCCATTCAAGCCGTTTCGAAGGTGAATCCTTTAATTTTTCAATATTTTAACACAATTAGTTGGACTTGTTTGATAGTAATGGAATTCATAAAGTTTTAAGGTTACACCGCTATTCTGCTGGTGAATGTTTTAGTACCCAAACATGGTAATTAAATGATCATAAAAGTATTGTAGTTCATAATATGTTACCTCATCCGGAAGGCTGTCCACAAGGCAAGTTGTATTTACTTCCCCACGTTGGTGTCTTCCTCGCCTTCCGTCTGTGAAACAATAACATGTTAGAAGAACGACAGTCTTCTCTCACCTTACGTGATCATTCTAGTTTTGGTTTACTGGGGGTCTATCATTAAACGACTGTTTTTGTTCATCTAACATAATCTAAACCAAAACACAACGTAAACTTGTTGAAACACAGTATTATGTTCACTGAACGTAATTTCACCAAAGAATATTTAGAATTGTTTCAAGTAGCAGTAAGAAACAATGAATTTATCTTCCCTTGTTCACAAATCGATGTAACGTGTAACGTTGTTCATAGTATGTGTAATTAGAACATATTTATTAGCCTAGGAAATTAAAAGTGACTTAGGTAACCAATCATGCTAGGTGATTTAATTTCTTATGGGATACTGCACATATCAAATTCCAACACTCATTATAATTACTTAAAATGCTAAAGGACGAATACAACTAGAAAAAAGGAAAAAAAAGAGCCTCTTGGATTTGTTTGGACAGTTGAAGCTAGAAAAAGGAAAACTAAACATCAATTTTTTTTGTGAAAATTCAGTTAACAATATTGACATTTAACGTTATTTGTTTGTGTTGATAAAAGCTATGAAGGTACCGATTTCAGTTAAAAACTTAATATCGAGAAAACATAAACTATTAATGTAAAGAAATTCTCGTAAGTCGAGTGGTTTAAAACCTACAGCAACTTTATATTTAAATATATGGGACTTGAACATTTTAACACCTTGTTCCGTACTATCCTTTACTGAGAAATTGAACGGTCTGTTCACTAACTGGTAATTACAGCGTTTATTAAACGAAAGATCAGTCTAAAACTTTCATATTCTATGGTTTGAAATATGTGAAACTTTCATGCTCTATGGCTTGAAATATGTGAAAACTTTCATGTTCTATGGTTTGAAATATGTGAAACTTTCATGCTCTATGGCTTGAAATATGTGAAAACTTTCATGTTCTATGGTTTGAAATATGTGAAGACTTTCAGGCTCTATGGTTAAATATGTGACACTTTCATGCTCTATGGTTTGAAATATGTGACACTTTCATGCTCTATTGTTTGAAATATGTGAAATATTTAGGCGCATGAAAAAATAAAATGCATTACAGCAAGACATTCTGGGTTTGACTTAAGCCTATTGGTCAGCGAAATTACTTTGAGATTGTATCGTTATTTATTAATAAAGCTTAACACAAAATAACAACTTTTATATCCTATCTTTTATTGATCAATATTTCGCCTTGAAGCTTTTTCAGGAACAGATCTAAACGTTCTCTATATCGTAAAAAAATCTGTGAAGCGAAATATTTGGCAAGACATATTCCGTATATGTTCATAAGGTCTAATGTCTAATCCCCGATTCCTCATGTATTTTGTTCATTTTAGTAGCATTCAACTTTACTTATTGTCTATTTGTTTTAGAATTTTCGTGCAGAGCTACAGTAGATCCAAATAGGCGGACCTTATTTTGAAGCGATAAACTAGAGGGAAGGCAGCTAACCAATAGGATCCACTGATAGACTAGAGGGAAGGCAGCTAACCAATAGGATCCACTGATAGACTAGAGGGAAGGCAGCTAACCAATAGGATCCACTGATAGACTTGAGGGAAGGCAGCTAACCAATAGGACCCACTACCAGATTCTGAGATATTTTGTCTTATCGAATGGTGGAAGTTTTCCAGCGTTCTTTTAGCGCACTCACAGATCCAAAGTGCGGATAGTGTTTTTGAGGCAATGAGACAGAAACCATGGACTTTTGGGTTCACAGTCAGAGCACACTAACTCTACTTATCAACTACATCCTTCACGCTAGAGATGTGAATTTAAAAAAATATATATATATACATATATATGCAGATTTTGTTAAACAAGACCGATGTCTGTAGGTTTACTTTCTTCTTAGAATTCTTCTCAAGAAGTCGATAAGCCCTCTTAACGTTGTTAGAACAACGGGTAAAAGTTGTAGCTAGTGTAGAGTTGGCCGACGCGTTTCGAATGCGTTCTGCATCCATTATCAAGGCTGAATGTTGTGTGAATTGTGATTACTGTTGGTGGATATTTATAGGTATGGGTAAGCAGGTGGTGGTATCTAGCTCCTGGAAGGCGTTAATTGGTGGAGTGTTGTATTGTGGCTTGGGGGTTTCTCGCCAAGAAATGTTATGAAAAACTCATAAACAGAACAGCCCTCTACGGCCAATCATATCACAAATTCCTACCCCTATATACAAGACTGCCAAAGACCTAAACCACATCATCACTCCGTATATGCCTGCCCAATACTTCCTAACATCTACAGACGACTTCTTCCACTTACTACATGCCACAAATCCACAGGGACTACTCGCCTCCTTGGACGTCGAATCATTATTTACCAATGTACCAGTCCAGGATACGATAGACATAATCTGCGACAACGTTTACAGACACCCGACCATGTCTCCACCCAAAATACCTGAAGAAATAATGGGTGAACTTCTACTCGCCTGTACTACGAAGTCACCTTTTCAACATATCAATGGTTCGCTATACCAGCAAGTCGACGGAGTTACCATGGGCTCTCCTCTTGGAGTAACTTTTGCCAATTTTTACATGTGTCACATAGAAAACAAAGTGCTGCACGACCACCATCCCGCACTGTACTGCAGATACGTCGACGACTGCTTCATCGTTACCAAGGACACTGATGAATTAATGAAGCTCCGACAAAACCTACAGGACAACTCTGTGCTTAAATTCACCCACGAAATAGCCACTGACAAAACCATCAATTGTTGGCGTCGATATGTACATCCAGAAAACAGCACATACGCCACATCTGTCTATCAAAAACCCACTAGCCAGGGAATCTACCTCAACGCTAAAAGTGAATGCCCTCAAAGATACAAA